CTTTCATGCTACAGGCTATTCAGGTTCGCGTGACGGAAAATTGGCGCTTTTTACCTACGAATAAGGTATTACCGAAATGATTCGGAGCTTCAAATTTAGTTAATCGATACGTTACTACTACACTATACCAGGAAAAGTTCAATATTTTGTGATATGTTTTAGCTAGGCACTTCGCTCAAATTTCGGAATTATGCCAGCAGCGTAGCAATGCACGAGCGAATAGGTTCGTCAGTAAAATCATGTATTTACCACGGTATTTCATCTGAAAGCGGTGCGTATCGATATTCTTTTCTCGTGCCGCTGCTACGGTGAAGTATTTGCGGGACCTGGTTGCTTGAACTGTTCGTTCCATCAATTTGTACATGACCTGCACAAAGGAAATTCCCGTTCCTTTGTATATGTCGGCTTCCTACAACTTTGTCATACTTAGCTATAGGTGATCCTTAGTTCGTTAAGCAAGTGCTCTATGGATTAGTGCAGTCCTCTACCTCCGCACACTTACCCAGGTAAGTACTATTGTGAATCAAACATGGGCACTAGCTATTGTCCTGGGTTGGCGGGGATGTGGTCGGAAGGACGGAAGCCAGATTGGCCGGGTGCTGCAGGCGTCCTATATGAATGACGAGAACCGCGAAAGCTATCGCAGAAAAGCGATGACCTGGATCGCCATTGGCTTGACAATTGGCGGTCCACAGTTCGTCCGCATTGAGCCACCAGAAACAGGAGGACGCAGAATTTCAAGGCCGTATAGCGCTACCAAATGCAAAGGAACGAGCGGAACCGCTGAGTGGTGGCATTCTTTATCCATTGTGAATGTATAGCACCTCGTTAACTTTCCGGATGCGGTCCATAGGTGCGCCTTCCGCGAGATGGACAATGTCCACCAAGTCGCTTTTTATCTCGCCCCGCATCGCCTTATTTTGTTGGACAGTGTAGCCATACGCATGCTGGGGCATTGGCTGACACATGGGCAAAAGAATTCGTCGGCCAGAGGTAGACAACGTCGCTCTCGGCTTCTACATTGTTGTAACACACGTATTGTTAACGCCTTGGCGGGTAGTGTGCAATACATTCTTATTACGTTTCGAATCTACATATCTATAGGTTTGCATATATATATACACACTTAGATATGCTTGTAAAATTGCCTGAAAACAAGATGAAAAAGAAAGCGCACAAAGGACAGAAGAGTCAAAAGGAGTTAATTGATAAATTTATGTTGCCGCGTGCATCGCTCACCATATTGCTTCGCTTCGTACCCAACTATCGCTACTAGTTGCGTGTTTGCACGCATTCGCTCTGATACGGTACCTCATTGCTCTGTACGTGCATGCCTGCGTAAGTGACTTCGTGAAGGCAGAGCTTGCCGTCGCCGTATTATCGTGGAAGAGTTAATGGTCTACTCGTGCTATCCTTGTCAAGCTGCAGAGTGATAGTTCAAGAAAAGGAGACGAATTTGAGAAAAAAAATCGGCCATAGCATAGACGTTTTTCCATCGCTGTTGATCGGTCGCGGTCTGGTTTTCTCCCTCATATTCTCGCTGCCGGGAAGAGCCACTCACCGCAGCTAGACCAGACAGGCGCCCGAACAAGCGGTCGGCTGTCTCTTCTTCCCGCCCTTTCTGTTGGCTATCTTCGTGTGTGTGCGTGCCGGTATGCTAAGGGCAATGCAGGAAATGCGTTGGATGTAACAGCGCCTTGTGGAGTCGGACAGCGATGTCACGATAGCCGCAGCTGCTGGCGCACATCCCATAGGGTGATGCTGCCTGTCGCTCGTGATGAATATTTCATATGATTATTGTTAAGTGACGCTCTCATACTAAGTCAGTGCTACTGTTACCACCAGCGGCGCAATGGCAACCGTCGTTGCCACCGTCTATATCGCAAGCGTACATGTATATGTGCATCCAGTAGAGGCTTTATCTCTGACTAGTCGTTCCCGCTGTTCATTTGCGACGCCGCTCTACTAGACTTTCCCACACAGGGCATAGCGCATAGTGGAATAATTGATAGTCGTGGGGGCAGTAATAACAGCACAAGGGCAAGGCACATAAAGACACACCCATGTACATATGTAACGTGGGCTCCGTTGAGCCCTGAGTAGGTCTCAGCTGTTGCAAAGGAAACAACAACGGACAGCAGTTTGCTTGCTGCTTAGTTAGATGGTCGGTCTGTTAGTGGCTACAAATAATAGCAATGGGCAGCAGTCAGAAGCGACAGTGATGGTTTCCGACAGTCAGCGACAACGAGTTGGCGCCTGAAGAAGTTGAGGCGTGCGATAGAAGCGGGAAACCTAGTCACGTTGCTGCTGGCTATCAAACAGCTAATGTGGGTCTTGTCTTTGCTACTATAGATAGTTGGCTGACCGGCCATCCGAAGTTGGATTATCGCTTGCTTGAGTGCGTACTTAGTGTGAAAGGAAAGTAGACAGAAATGCACGACCTCTTCAGACATACATATTGGAAGAGAGACGCGGCTTCAAAGAGGAAACAGTGCGCATATGCAGAGGAAAACTGGGATCAAATCGTAGAATTATAGTGAAGTAACTGGGTGCTTCTATGTAGAACGACTCGGACACTCGAACGGGGTTCATGTCTGAGTTGTAAGTAGGAGAAGTCCCTGTTTGGGCCGCTTGCTGCGCGCCAACGTTATCACTGCTCCTTTACCTGTGTCAGCTTATTTCCGAATGCTCTCTTCCCTTCTGGTTTTTGTTCTAGCTTTGTGGCAAAGAAGATTCATGCACCTACACTTGTTCTATTCCTCTCAATTCCCGCCTGCTCTTGCACTCTGTAGAGTGTACATTGGTAATGAAATGCGGGGCGTGGCTTGATCAAGAATCTACTGCTGGTGAGGTTGACACCTTTACTCGAAAGTAGTTAACCCAAACCACAAAATCCGTTTCAACGGTATCACATAGCCACAGTGCCTTTTTTGTCCATTCTTGGCCGTTTTCGTACATGGCTAATCTTAACTACCTGTGTTGTGATTTGGTGCATACGTTTGGCAGGCCGCAAGCTGTACAGTTGCTAAGTGAAGCTCCATAGGAATACGCGCTTGTAGGAAGAAGGATACATGGAAAAAGAGAAAGAAAAACAGGATTTTGTAAATCCGAATAGTAGCGACCAGTCCAATCGACGGCCAATAGTCGGACAGTTGGGTCCTTGTCCTGTTCACGGGAAACTGCGGGAAGTTGCCGGCTGGCGATCAGAGGGGACCGTTTCCTCTTTTCAAGATTTACTAGGCTAGCGTCTAGGACGGCCAGCACCTTTTTTATTTAAATGAAAAATAGAAAATCACGTGTCGCTAGGTTTAGTTATAGCTTGTTAAATGTAACAGGATTTGGAGAATCTAAAGTTTTCGTATTTGTATTTGGCCCTTCAAACCGATGAATGCTCGAATAATTTCTACGTCTCTATCGATGGTTTTCAAATTTTACATCGATGTTTTTATACTCACGTCTAGTTTACGTTCTCGATCTAAAATATATGAATGTAATGACTTATAGCATTTGTAAAAGCATATATAGGTAACAACTTTTACAGTAGAGGTAACTTGTTAAATCTCCTAGAAGTGAAACTCATCCGTGAGCTTTAGTTGCAGCTGACCTATCGAAATCGCTCGTTGAGTGGTTTCTACATGGTAATGCGTAACTCCCCAGCGCTACTCTTTGAAATCCTACGAGGACCTTTCTTTATTTAGTTCTGTGTTCGTCCTAAATTCAACGCTGTCTACCAGCTGGCGGCGGTCTGTGCAAAAAGGAAGCCATTAACTCTGAAGGTTTTGATCAACTTCTAACCGCTCATCTTACTGTAGTTACCCCCCAAAATATAATCGTTTAAATTCAACAACCCTGAAGATATTTACCGTGGGCGAATTTTCATTTTGTAGAAGTAGTATTATTACGCATAGATAGAAATACTACATGTTCTACTGTTAACTTGGGAACTTTTTTGTTTACTTCTTCAGAAGTTCACATGACGTTTTGCCCTAAATAGATGCAAGTCGAACTAAATAAATCTGTCATCTTGCTATGCGCCTTTGTGCTTTAACTTTTTGAACTTCCTTAAATATGAGGACTAGACGGGTGAGGTACATTAGTACAATTCATTTTCTTAAATTTCACTACAGCTCATTTATGATAGCAGTCAATGGAATTGAGTAGTTTTTCTACTTCTAACGACAACGTTAATTAAGTTTTTGTGTTAGTTAATTGAGAAAGGTACTCTGAAGAAAGCAGGAAGAATACACCCTACGCCGATTGGTCAATTAGTGGCCATGTTTCCAGTGTAAAATAAGGGCTAAATGTTCAAACTAGAAAACAGCTGTATCTTGTAAAGCCTCCACTCCCACACTTCGCCTAACTAACACAATCCTGTGTTCCTTTAACCTAAAAGTGACCTACAGCAAATATATTTCAGATTCACGGATCGGTTGGCCTAGCAGGCCTTTTGAGAGGGCCACAGAAAACTATTAGTTAAAGAAGCTTTGTAGAGGTAAACACAGTATGAACTGGTACCATGTAATTGTTGAGTTTTTAAGTCCCTCTCTATTTCCGCCTTTGTGCCCTTGTTCGATACGATCGATAAGACGGGGAAACGTTTTCAATTTTTGTTTCTCTGTAATATTGTCCAAGGTCACCGGTTCAGTGATCTGGCACTAGTATACTTTGTTGATGCAAAAAAAACGGACAGATTTACTTCCAAAGATAGATTATCGTTTTAATATTTTCTGCCTGACAGTTACCTAGCAGAACTTAAGTGAACAGAACGGTGAATCACATAAACGCCTTGCTTTATCCAAGCTTATTGCTGTTGCCGTTATTGAAAGCAAACACTGCAGAATCTTGACAACTTCATTGAAACTGGGTTTGATGCCTCATATCTGTTTTGGTGCGTACCCTTCCGTAATAGCATGCGGCTCGTTACACTGCGGCTACGACAATGCCACGATGACATTTTAATGGCATTTCATTGTTGTGGTTGACTGTTTTCTGCTTCACAGGTGGAATCGGAAGAGGATTACGTTGAACGACTGCAGCTACTCGTATCCTGCTTTCTAAGACCGTTCAAGATGGCGGCCAGTTCCCAAAAGCCTCCCTGTACTCACGACGAGGTCAGCTCGATCTTCCTCAACAGGTGGGTAGTATTCTTTCTCCATCATCTTCTTGAATTAGTTTGTCGCACTGTTCTTAGCATGCACCTATTGGCCAACTATTTTATCGCTCGTGTGCACAGTATAAGTTTGTGTTTCTGCTGGTGTGGTAACAGAAGTGGGCAGTTACGTTACAGCGGTCGCTGGCAACCAACAACGAGTACGCTGTACCAAGCGTCTCTATAGCGGAAGTGATGATATAATGGTAGAAAGCCATGGTGGCGGTTGCCATCACTATCGCCCGGGAGCAGCTACCTGTGTCTCGGCAACGACTCGCTTGAGGCACACTGCGCCTCCAGCAGTAAGTAAGCCAAAAAAGGAGGCAAGGAAAAGAATCGACAGTAAGAATCGGGCATCATTCTCCCGTTTTCCTTTCGCTGAATAAGGGGTGCCTCCGATGTTTAGGAAGAAAGAAAATGGCGTTTTTGCAAATTTGCCGCTACAGCGGACATCCTCGTTCTCTCGAGGCAACTACAAAGTCTCTAGCCGTTAATGGCACTAGTCTATGCTAGCAGCAGCCGCAGCCACAACGTTCCCTCCCCATAGAGTTTATTGATTTCCCATAATTACTACGTCAACTGATCAGACAGATAATAATATATTAATAAGTCCAGCGCGTTCTGTCCTAGTTATGAGATTTTCTTCTCTCTCGTCGTCACTTTAGATACAGTAAATGCGTACGAAAGTGGATGGGGGTGTTTTTGTTCCTAAACTTTAATTGTGCTGTGCTTCTGTGTTGCTGCGCCCCGCTGCGTAAACCAATGACAGTACTTTGTCTGGTTTTCTTGTCCTTACGGTCTTAGAACTGCGTCTACTCGACACAATTATCTCTCTTTCAGGACCAATGTGCTTCTGCTAATGTACCTTTCAAAGGTTTCCATGTTGTCTTTACGGAAAATAGCTTGATATGTAATATACTATGCGCAAACAAATACAAGCGTATTTGTAAGCCCCGTTCCATATTAGACCACACGTATAAAATGGTCGATTAGTTTTTTCACCGTATGCTCTATTCTCGGCAATTGACAAGCCCGCCGCTTGTAATTTTGTAGTATATTCATATGAAACACTTTTGATTATTACTTCCTTGTAGATAAGTCTTTCGAATCACCTCATCTGTGTAGCATCAAGGACCAGCCTCTACTAGAAAATTTAGCCAGGCTTATCTGGAGTTTCGCCATCAGGCCTATAAAATGGCATCGTAATTATATGCCATGGTGGTCATTTCCCAGCGCTGAAATTTGAACAAGCAATGGTTGCATATTCATAATTACCAAGGCAAATAGAAACCCCGCACCTAGATCACCCCCCGTGGCTTAACGGACAAGAAACAGATGAATAGATATATGGAGAAGGATACTACGGCAATACGAATAGTTTCTGCACCATTATAAGGCTTTAGGAGTAGAATGCATTACACGTTTTGTATGTGCCGCGTGCTGATCGACAAGGTTTACAGAGGAAACTTAAAAATGGCAAAAACAGCTAGCGGCGTCACATCGGAAAGAACTATTCTGCTTAGATCTGTTTCACCAAGTCCCTATGCATTCTGAGCATTTTACACTACAGACCGCCGTGTTAACGTTCCAAACGATCACCATGTAGGAACGCCATGGTAGTTTTTTGGTTTCATGGTGGTATTTTTATGGTAGGCATCGAGATATTTAGGCGTGTTAATACACGGATTTTTAAGCAAGACTGGTTACTTGCAATCAGCCCATTTTGATTTATTCCAAAGGTAAAAGCAGCAAACATTTTAGCTTTACGTTTCAGAAGCTATTATTTTAATTCATTTCACCACAACCCGGTGAGATTTAATCAAGTCGCGGTATTCAATTCTTCGCTTCAACAGCGATCTCTGCCTATTATCCTAATTCTTCGTCCTGTAATTTATACTCCCAACGAAGCTATTTTTAAATCCAATTTTCGAATTGTTGCTTCGTGTCTCCTTTAAATACTCGTAGATCTGTTGCCGCCCGTCTCGATGCTGTTGCTGCTGTCTGCTGCGACCTGATTTCTGTTATCGCTTGGTTTTTTACGACACATATTCTTCTTTTTGAAGAAGATGAAATGCTAGGATAACTTGAAAATTGCATAAAGTTATGGTAACTGCCATTACTAGGGGCCGGCTTAACTTTAAATCTCGCTCGCTGCTGTTGGTTTCAAGTACCTTGATTAAGCCATGGTCGCGGCAACCGAAGCGAAGCGGCCCAAACGAGCAATGGGTTGTCCTTCGCTGGGCTGCTAGTAATGAAGATAGATCGGAAATGGGTCGTTGAAGGTTCGTTCAGAGGACTGGTTAGTTCTGAAAAGAAATATGATTATGGACAGCCTGGAGACATTTCGATACTATCCAAGAAATGGGCGGAGCGAGCAAACTAGAGAAACGTAAAATAGGTCTGGAATAGGAACGCAAAGGTCTGGAAGTAGAAGGGGCTCGAACTCAATGCACACATCGTCCATAGAAGCAGTCATAACAGCAACGAACGCACTGATTAATATTTTAGTATGACCCGTATGTAGCAGTGATATGACGTCGTTTCAATTAGCATCCTCGAAGGAGTCCTTTCTTCACATTACTTCCGTTAGCTCGGCTACTCTACTCAATATTTCGAATCCCCTGACTCCAAATTCCTTTATAGATCTGAAATCCCTATAGAAACACCCCCCCCCCCCCCCGCCCCTACAGCCCCACATCCTCCTTTTGGCTGACCCTTTACTACCACCAACGCCCGCTGCGAATGCTAGCGAGCATCTCTTTTCCTGTATGCTACATAAGTACATGTACAATACCATGTAATTAGTCAATAAGTTAACTTTCTCGCATTAGTTAAAAAAGACAGCAACAATATGGAAGGGGGGCCACCACCAATGTGTCGTTCGTATCACGTCCGAACCCCATCGGTCCATTCTCTTTTTTCATCCAGAGTTTTGTTTGTTTACGTTGCGGGTTCTCCTCAGGCTTTCTCTGTCCGCGTAGTGTAGAAGTCGGACTTTCCACGTCCACGGACGCTGTAATAGAGTGTGCTTGGTTTCACTAAGTCTCATCCGCTAGAAGCCTGCATAAAAAAAATTGCTCATTGACTCTGCGTTTAATTCCGCATAGCACACAGTATTATAGTATTTTTATGTACTTGTGCGGACGATCCTGTTAATGATATCTCTTTATTTCATATGATTGTAGTAATACCATAAATCGAGTTCGGCCAAGCTTGGCCTCTTGAGCGACAATTATATATATATATATACTACACTGTTGGGGTTGATGGACAATTCCGCGTACCTTTTTTTTAGGGTACCTGACTTTACCTCAACGCAGCGTTGTCGGCAAGTCGGAGCTGTAATCAAACACAGACGTAACTTAGTTCTGTTATTGGATTCAAAACACCCTTGATTTCACAATATGTGCAAATAGTTAACGTATTAGTAATCATACCACTGTTTTTCTGTGTAATCGGAATGTAACGTAATGTCCATTGCGTCACACGCAATGGGCTTCTTCCGGATTAACACATGGCAGCATGTGCGGTTAACACGAACAGGGGAGGTCATAACGTGTTAAAATGCAAATTGTATATTTCAGTGAGACGCTGATGTTCCTACACCAGATTTTCTTGAAGGGCCTGACAGCCCGGATGGAAAGCTGGCCTACACTGGTCCTTGGTAAGTGCCTTACTGCTTACTGCACGAATCCGTTTCGTGTCTCTTCGTGTCAACATCCTGATCGACTTGTGCAGATACATCTCGGACCCAAGTAATCCTCTTTTCTGATGTTTCTCAATCTATAACCACACTATTATTAATGCAAATATTGTTTTTTTCACCATATGGCACCTTAGCACTTCATTTCTTTGGCACTATTATATTATTATTGTTTGTATTTGCAAACTAAAACTGTCCTCTTGTTGTGATGGCACAGTCCTAAAACGAAAGTACGTTACAGCTTTTAATTACATACGTATCTGTTAATTTCAACAACGCTTGGTTCCTTGATGCAACTAAGGCTTAAGTAGGATGCACTTGTCCTCCATTCGCTAGATTAAGCAACAAGTTTTTATCAATTTCGACTTGCTAGAATTGCTCTTATCGTTTCGACGAACTCATTAATAACACGAAAAAAAAAAAAAAAAAAACATAAATAGGTTCTATTGTCGCGTATTTTAACCTATTACGTTCGACCTGTACATCAACAATTCGTCACCTTAAACTCTTGTTCTTTTTCTAACGAGTTAACATGTACGAATGTTTATGAAACGACGACACGTCGATGACTATTCGCTATCTGCCCGATAAATTTTTAAATGGAAAATGTCGCACTATGTGTTCTAAACAGAAAAACATTTTTTTGCAGCCTATGTATCATATATTATGCTTCACTATGCTATAGGATGCCTGTGTCGATGTTCTTTTCGGCTACCTTGTCGTACATATCAGAGTCAGTCATCAAATTGTTTATTTGTACAGTATTGTTTTTTCAGTACGTCATTGTGTATAGATGGGCGGGTGCTGTGCCGATTATCCTTAAGTCGAACCTCCTTTTCAAATGGACACCTGTTCTTTCCCACTTGAGGTCATGATATGGTAAATAGAACTTTCTGCCAAAATAGCCGATGATTATAGTGGCAACCTTATTAAATTTACGTACGCACATTTTTTTGTACGAAAAAAATATAACTGCAATGGACTTTAATACTTCTAAAACTGTCCCATCACAAGTGAGATTTAAGCTTGTTTAGGAAAATCGAACCGAATGCATCCGATATAGGGCCACTTCGATCAGATGTATACCCCCCCCCCTCTCTCTCTCTCTCTCTCTCTCTCTCTCTCTCTCTCTCTCTCTCTCTCTCTCTCCCCTCTCTCTTACTTTCTATCTATATATTTATATATGTATATATATATTTATGTATGTATATATACAGATATTCTAGTGAATTTTATCCCTCTTATTTTTGTTTGGCGGAAGTCTTGAGTGACATCGACGTTGTTTGAACTTCTTTCGAATGGTTTTATGGATTTGGAAGATGCAGGACTGCCGAATCGACTTTATACAATAGCTGTTCTTCTTCTTCTTCTTACGATACACTCCGTTATGCGTTCGTTCTCATAGTTTATTTGATATTGAATGTACCCATTTTAAGCAGTAAGTATTCGAATATGCACAGTTTTCTTTTTTTTTCTTTTCTAGGGCCTTCTACAAACCTGTCTACCCCGAACTTTTTAACCTTAAATATAGCTTCGATAGCTATAAAAGTATAGAAAAGCAAATAATAACACCTCATGCGTGCGACTCGCTAGGCCCGGTTATTGTATCATAGAAAAGGAAAATAATGCGACGACACTGAACATCGGACAAATCCTGCAATTTCCAACGCATAAAATCGTATCTCCCCTCACTGTATCATTTCGATTGCTATCACTATCTATATATCAGTTGATTGAGTGTTGGTCGAAGTGAATTCAAGTGCCCTTTGATTGGTTAATGTTGAAAGCTAAACGTTACAAAACTAAAGTGTGACTTGTATTTTTCTGTGTGATTCGTTTGGTCCTTCATTCTTCACAAACTGGCTTCACAAACTTCGAATGACGAACCCAAAGGGACAGGTGAGAGAATGTTCAGTCAGTCAAACGAATTAACGATAGTCCAATAGGTGCATGCGACGAACGTTTGCTCTGTTGACAAACGAGAAGGAAATCACCACTTAAAGTTTTGCGCCCGCGTAGTTCTCTCGTATCAGATTGTTTGGCCTCTTTTTATTTTACCGATACTCTCCTATGGATTGTACAAAAGTAGTGGGTATTATACTACTTGGCGCCCCCATCACGACGACAACAACAGGGATCTTTTTAGACAATAACACGTTGTTCACAATACGTGTTGATGTGACAGGTTATAACAACACAATGATAACACAACTAAGATAAACGAATATAATTATTTTTTCTCTACACAAAGTAGGACCAAAAGGGAAAACTGTGGCCTTTTTCCTTAAACACGAAAGAACAATCTGCTATCTTTCAAAAGGCATTCTTTTGCAATTTCCCCCAAAATACACGCCTCTCCTTCAACATCAAAGTTGAACAGTGCTTCCTCGTAGCTCCTCAAGGTAGACTTGGCTTCCTTCCTTTCCACATTTCTGGTGTGCTACCCTTACGCTTTCCTATTTTTGCCCCTGACCAACGACAGACTGCTGAATGCAATAAACCCCCAGCATCGATAAACCGACCGAGTTTTAACAATATACACATACATGTGCAAACCGCGTGAGGACACAGCACCCATGCCAGATGAATTAACTAACAGCAATTACTGAAATAACCAGTCAGCTTAATAAATCTAGGATCAACCCTTTTCATTCTCAACCATTCGTGTCTATCTTTCTAATACACAACTAATAATTAGATTTAGCGCTTTTTCTATGTTTTTGAATCAAATGAGACTCCATCAAAACTCGGGTATGTAATTTCTCTCACGATTTATGCTACGACTATATTTCTGCCTCCATTTGTAGCATTAGTTTCACTTCAGCGATGCGCATTTATTCCGTTTGTTGCTTTCTGCTGAGTTCTTTAGCTCGTCTATTACGTGCGTGTAATATATATAGTTGCACGCTCGCTGTGCAGGCAACAGTTGTAACGGACCGTAACGCTTAATGCTTCGACTTCTGTTACTGCCAACGACTCAGGGATGAGATAACTGCTGTGGCTCCGCGCTAAAATACGTTACAACCAAGTGGCACTTTTCGGCGGAAACAGAAACCCTTTTCTGTCATGCTGCTACTGATGGGTTGCCGAGTTCTTTGTGACCATCTACGTGCCAAGTAGCACGACGCTGCTATTCATTCCGTTGTAGAACATGCCGCTGCGAAAATCGACTTTTTCAGCTCGCTGACAAACATTTTCGTCGTCAATGTGTTTTCTTTTCTTTACCTTTTCTTAACCCTTACTAATGGCCGGATAGTCATTTTCATCCAGCTCTTGTAACACCATTCGTTTTCGATTGGACCGCTGTTCGAGTTCCCCAGCAGGCCGTGTAGGTCTGATCGGTAACTGCTTCAATCATACGAGCTTCTTGTTCTTGTGTGGTCTGCTATCGTGGCCTCCTTGTCTGGCTCAACTAGTATTAATTGATACTGATATTACTACGCGAATGCCACAAATTACGTTTTCTTCACAACGGACTAAGCAGACGCCTTTCTTTATCAACACTACTGCTGTACCCATAAGTCGATCTGCTATCGGACCAGTTTTGCTATGCAGTAGAAAATGAGTATGCATATGATACTCTAATAGTGACGAAGCGAAGCTATGGAAGATCCAAAACATAATAACGCTGCTTGGTGACAAATGCATGGACTCGGAAGTCGGAAGCTGCGCCATTGTTGCTAACCATGGCGAAAATAATAGTGCCTATCTAAGGTAACCTGCTTCAACACGATTGGGATTGTTATCTATGTACACACATGTTTTTTGGACCAAGGAATGGTCCGAATAACCTGTTAGCGAGCGGCTTGTCGCTTTAATCCAACAAACAATGTGTTTTTGGGCTTCGGCCTAAGCACTATCGTCATGCCGGCTGGATAGAATGAGGAGAATGTACGCTGTTGACGAAAAGGTAACGCTGAGTTCAGCTGGAGACGACGTTTATGTGACGACAAAATTGTTAGCAAGTGGTAAACTATGCCTGCATGTTTTTCGTGTTTTTTATCTCTATTTTACTCTCACTCATTCATTCTCTCTCCGTTCCTTTTTCCTCCGACTAGTTTCTCTACGGCGGTTGCTTATCTTGCTTGGCTTTACCGGGGAATGCCAAAAATTGAAGTGACCATGTAAAGACAATAGCTGAGTGGCTGATGCCAGCTGAGTGAGGCAACTTTGAATGATCCCCTCATCCCAAAGGGGTAAGTCGCTAGCCGAAACGATGGCTGTCGCGGCTTCTGCTGCTTCTTAGCCAAATTAGCGTCGACACAGAATCTTCCAAAATGTAACTGCAGCGACCATCACCCCCGAAGCCTTGCGGTGGTGTGGTTAGCAATAAACGGTCGGCCTCTATCGCTATGGCGTCTTGTCACCCCATTGCTGCCTGCATTGATTCCGCTACTCTTGCAGTGCGCGGCAGACTCCGTCGCCTTTGCACGTACAGTGAGATTGTTGCTGTATGGCCGTATAGCCACATTTAGCGATCATCGCATAGAGAAAATTCGTAGCAAACTTCTAGGAAGGAATAGAAAAAAAGCGAGATGTCTCGCTGGTAGGTGTTCTTCTGGTCCTTTTGCTGCTACTGCCACTACTGGTGCCCTTGCTATGGTAAAAAGATGATTGGCGAATGCATCTTCTTTGCCTTAAAACGGACAGAAGCGTTCATAGAAAGCAGAGCAGAGAATGATAAGATGCCCAACAAGACGTGCTGTTTCACAGGGCAACAGCCACAACGATGACAAGAATGGGGAGAATGACGAAGGCTTTCGACGTGCGAGGCAGTCCTGCTCATTGCTGATACTGCTGGTACAGCTCTGCATAGTAGACGTATTGGAACATGGGCGACTTCGTGCACAAATACAAACGGCGCCGGCAACGACGTAAGCAGTAACAGGAGTAGCAGCAATAGAACCAAAGAAAAGACGGTCGTTTACTTTGACGTCAAGTGGGTCTGGCAGATGGGAACAGCGGTGCATCGTCTCAGGGACGGGCGGGCGGACGGGCGGGCGACAGCTAGGCCACCTACTGCGTGATTGGCTTTCGTGGTCCTTCCTTCACAACATGCAACTTCATCTGCAGCTAGGCGTATACGCCAACGAAGACGCCACTTGAAGCTACTGCGCGTGTGTATGTGTGGGGTAGTCCTCCTGTGAGCCTGTTTGACGGAAGTACCACTAGTTTCCAAGTTCCTTTCTACCACTCATAGCTCATTCGTTGCGAATTTCCCTGCTAGGGGGAAAAAAGAGAGGCAATCAGTACTCTGTGCATCGCGTATCCATAGAAGAATCGAGGTCGTGGTCAGACTCGTGGTGAGGGCTCGTCTCGGATGGGCTCAGAGCCCGTGTAGGACATCAGCCGTCCAGCACCGATCGGGCGACGCTACAGATCCTTCTTCACGTGGTCGTTTTGGGTGAGTCGCATCAGCAGCATTTTCAAAATTCAATTTGCCCCCCACTCTGGCTATTGTTGGCCGGTGTTGCTACTGTTGAGGCCGGAGAAAAGGAGATAGCGAGAAAACCTAGAAAAAAGGAACTTATGCGATAGCAGAACGGCTTTTGAGCCAGTCGCACAGTCCGCACTCTAAACTTTCAACGTCTCAAAATCTCGGCAGTTTCAGGACCGGACATGTTTTTAGTAGGCGGCACATTTTTTCTGTTTCTTTCTTACCTTCTGTCGTAGTGCACCAGTAGTGTACATAGTCGGCATGCGACCGGCACTAATCCTGATGCCCTTACTTCTAGCCGAATGGCTAACGAAGCTTTATCGACGTAAGAGTCGCCATTCGGCCGTAAAGAACTCGATCCGCAAATCAGCCGTTTGTACTATGGAGGCAATTGCGATGACGACGACGGTACAAAGGTGTTCAGCCATCCTGACCAACCTCAAAGTTAAATTTAAATGCACGAACCTAGCGGGGAGATTTTCTATCCCGAGTCAAATCAAGATGAAGGGCAAGGCGCAATCCTGTTATCGCAATACCACTGGCACATGAAGACATATAACGTACTGGCATATTCACATAGATTAAACAGCAGCGATGTGACAGTTTTGCGTAGCGGTTCGCTACATTGTGTTTTGTACTGGGCGATTCCATAATTATCTTTCACACAAAATGTTGTTAGCTTGCTCAACTATTTAACCCTCTTTTTACGTCATCATCGTAGGGCCTCGTTGCCCTTCGGTACGGGCTTACTCATGCCGTGCATGGGGAGAGAAGAAGCTAAAGCGGCTCATTAAACCACTCCCCGCAGTGTCTAATGTATCTCGCAGGCGATTTAGAAGCACAATCAAAGGTGAAACTTCGAGGTGGTGGATTATACAATTTCCATTCAAGTATATTAGGCGGGGGGCATTCGCTCTGCCTGTAGGTTAACGTGATATGTACATATATACATACTCGATGTAAGTATATAAATGCGTGCAATTTTATTGGATGCGGTAAATGTTCGTATCGTCGCTCGTTAGCTGTCGTGGAAGGTCGTTGCCATCGCAAATTTTTATTATATCTGCCTGAGGTTGGCTCATTATATAACCTTTGTATTCACTGCCCGACTTACGCTTGCTTACATACATGTGTCGTATATATGAGTATATGTAATAGTTTCTTCCCTAAACGATAGAACCCAACGAATAGGTCCGGCCGCCTCTATGGCGCTAATAACTCGTTACGGGGCAAGCGCCACGGATGCTTGTAGCCAACCAGTGCTACTCTGCATACTAGTCATCGTCCTTGGTGGCATGTCGCTCGCACACGATCACTATAATGATAATTGGCGTCATAGTTTCTGATCATAGTATTTTCATACGCCTGATAGTTACTGATCCACTGCTGAATCTGTCGCTATCGATTTGCTGCTCCTGTTCACCGCTGTTCAGTCTGTGTCTCCGTCTCTCTGCCACATTTG